GGCTTTTACTATGCATATAGTGTAAAGTATCTTTATTTGAACAATACGATGTGAATTATTTGTTTCTTGTACAATATACTATTGAATGCATATTATTTTTTATTGTACATTCATTTATAAATTTGTTATGCTGTGGTGAATAGATATTTGCAATAAATGACCAGAATCTTTTGCAGTACAATTGTATACATATAATTTATAGTTTATTTGTAATCGATGATACTTAAATTTTGGCTATCACTTACATAATTGCAGCACTTACTTGCAAAAATTATTACGTACTCTCAACAAATTTAACTTTTTTCTTAACTTATCCTAATTTGAGAACCTAAAGGAACCTTCTAGCTCTGAGGGAAGCCGATGCTCATACAATTGAGATTAATCTATCTGATGCTACAGTAATTAGCAATCAATACAATAAATAGTTCATCAGATATTGTTCAATTACTACTCAAATGACTTTTTTTCAAAATCTTTTACAAATTATTATTCGATCTCTCTTATAGTTACTATATTATCTCAATTACAATTTCAAAATCATATTAGTTAAAGTAACATTTTAAAAATATTACTTAAAAAAAAAAAAACAACTCTTGATAAATTTTAACTACCATTCAATTGCTTTTTTTCATATTTGACTATATTTATAATATACTCATACAGAACTATTTTCCCGTTTAAAATCATTATCTTTTACTAAAGTATTCTTCAAATCTCTTAGCTACTATATTAATTACAAATTTCAAACCTATATTAGACGTTGAAGTAATATTAAAAGTAACAAAAAAAAATACAAAAACTCTAATAAATTTTATTTACTATTCAATTGCTTTTTTTTCATACTTGACGGTCATCTATATACTTCATACAAGCTATTAAATATTATTCGAATCTCTTTGGTAAATATCTGTAATCTTGATTACAGCTGTTAAACTAACGCTTTTGAAGAAAAAGCCAAAAATTTTACAAGCATATCTAGTTATATGCTATTAGAAAATAGCAAAAATATGACATTAGTAAAAGTTTCTCGAGAATGGGATTATATAGGTCTGCTAACTGCTAGTAAAGCAAAAGACCAATATATTCTAAACATTATTCAATCGTAGATAACATGCTTAGCTACTTGTCATATAAGCGATTATGTTTTTATATAGTGAGTACTATAAAACTAATATAAATAATTTGTATAACAATCTATACTCAATTGTATCACATTGGCCAATCAAAATGACTTTCCATCATGCTGGTAACAGGAAGAACTGTTAAATATTACACAAATATTCATGTATTGTCATATTATAACTAGCTAATCAAATTACAAAATTTAAAAAGTTAGAAAAATAATGATAACGGCAATGAAAGCGATATAAAATAGAATAAATTTTACATTTAAGAGTTTAAAATAAGTTTTTTAGACTTGTTTAGAGTGAGCAAATATATATTTATTAATTTATCTACTCGTTAATCTAACTATAATAAATAATTTCTATATAACTATTATGATTTATTAGAACTTAATACAATAATCGCTTCTATACTTGACTTTATCAAATATAAAATCTAAGCATTCCATCTCGTATGATATTTTATAACATAACCTTAGTCTATTTAGTAGCGATAGCTATTTTTCTGGCTTTGAGTTATCTCTCTTAGATCTAGCTCAAAATAATTTGTGAAAATATTTTATACTAAAATTACAACAGATCAGTATAGTATAGATGAGCAGATCCATATAGTATAGGCCAAATTTAAAATCTATACTATACCGATTAGCTATAATTAGGGTTGTCAAATTACCATAATTTACATAATTTTGTGAAATTTTGTATAAGTTTTCAGTAACATGATTTTCATGTAATTTGTAAGAAACATGATCATATGCCAGTACATGTGAAATTTACATGAAATTCAAGTTACTGAAATTTACGCAAAATTACATGAAATATAAAATTGTAATTTTTGTAATACAACCTAGCTATAATTTCTAACCCTAACACTAATATATATTACACCGGATCAGTATAGTATTGTAGTATAGATTTAAAATTTCGGCCTATACTATATGGATAAGTTTTGTATTTGTGATCTACATAGCACGTCTGAAATGTGTGCCAGGTTTGTGGCGCAACTGTGGTGCATATTGCCTAAACTACGAATCAGATTTCAAGATTAGGTATAATGTAACACGATCAGGAAAATTCAAAACAAACGATCGTTTTGTCAAAAATCGCTTGTTTCTCGAAAATCTGTATAAGAAACCAGCTTTATTGCTCTAACAAAAAGTTTTTCTTGAGCGATTTTACTATATAATTACATAACCTCTAACCTTATCATAAACGCTAACCACGCTAAACCTAACATTAAAGGTTTTTGCTGCACCACAAACCTGGCATACATTTCAGACGTGCATCTACATAATCATATGGCTTGCATCTGTAATTAGCCAATAAAAATTCATATTACATACAATTACGCGTCAGACATAAACAACTGTGTTTGAATAGCCAATCAAAATCAAGGATCTACAATTATAAAATTAATGTGGCAGCTATATAGGTTACACATTATAATATTGATGGAAAGCTTTCTACGTTCTACAAATAATAGCAAAGTAAAACAAGCTCTATTATTATATAGTAATATAGTTCTGTTAAATTTCTTGCTGCTATATTGAGATTTAATTAATTGAGCTGTTAGTTTTGTGAGCATATATTCAAAAGAATGTATATCTCATAAAATATTTTAAGACACATAATATTGTACCTTTATAATGAGAAAATATACCATATTGGGTTAAAGGAATTATTTGAAAATGTATATATCTCCTATATTATAATGAAAAAGTTTTTTTGAAGAAGGTCTACTAATTCTGGAGAAAAAGTTAGTTATGTCTTCCTTCATAAAATATTCAATTGAACTTTTTGGTTGATCTACAAATTGTGCTTTTATAGTGAGAAAATCTTCTATGCTGTAATGAAAGATTTAAACTTTGTCATGAAGCATCATATTGGATTAATCCATAAATTGTGCCTTTATAGTGAGGAACCTCCCATATCGTAATAAAAAAGTTTAAACTATCATAAAGCGTCAGAGTGGGTTAATTTATAATTAGCCTTTATAGTGAAAATATATATTTTTTCAAATTAATAAATTTGGTTAAAAGTGTATATGCCTCCTATATCATAATGAGAAAGTTTGAACTTTATTATAAAGTGGCAATATTATTTGATATACACATTTCAATTATTTAATTCTTCAATTTTGCATTGCAAGTTTTGGCGATTCTAAAGAAAACTTATTATTTACTAATTTTACACTGGCTGGTCAACAATATATATGAAAACTCGAAGTTCTGGTGTCACTCATTTGTTAATAGAATTATTGTCTCATAGGTTATAAAGAATTACTAGTGGGTCAGATCAATCTAAAATCCAAACCGATTTGATCTGCTTTGATCTGAGCCTAATACATTACAATTATTTGTTGTTGCTAGTTATATGTCGATATGACTAATCTTTTTTTCTATTACAGTGAATTTAAGAATCTTTTCGATAAAGCTAAGAGTGGTAAATTTCCAAGTATTATTTAAATTATTAGTACATCAGTATTGTGAAATATTTCAAATATCAATAATTTTTTTTTTTTTTTATATTATTTTAAATTATGGTTAATTTTTAAGATTTATTAAAATTTCTTAAGAAAGGAAAAAATATTTTGGTAATTGGTTAAAATCACATCTCAAGCATAAAGAAAGCTCTACAATAATCGAAATAGCACTTGTTAACAACAATTTTAAAGAGTCGCTAAGATCTACTTACATTGATACTATAAACTCGTATTACAATTCAAATAAGAAAAAGGCAAACAAATTAATTTACAGGAATAAAGCACGTATCATTTTAAATAAATTTAATTATTTTAAAATTAAAACGTCCAAAAACAATATCAACATGTCTCATTTTGTAGAACCATTGGGAGGAAAAAAGGTCTATTAAATTTTTAAGTCATATAAAAAAGTGTGAAAAAGTTGCTTCAAAACCCCATGATGTTGGCACTTCAGCAATGGCTGGTGCCTCAACATCAGATATGTCGATTTTTAGTAATGATGTTGTTTCAAAACCCCATGATGTTGGCACTTCAGCAATGGCTGGTGCCTTGATATCAGATATATAAATTTTTAGTGACAATGTTGTTTCACAATTCCTTGATATCAGCATTTTAGCAATGGCTGGTACCTCGACATCAGATATGTTGATTTCTAATGATGATGTTATTCTCACGGAAGAAGACTTTAATCCTATGTGGATCAAGTCTGTAGAGCAAGAAATACGTGAAGAGTTTTATGAAAAACGAATCAGAGAATCAAGTAATTTTATTGAGTTTCTAATCAAGCAGCGCAATGAAATTTGGATGCAACATCAAGAATTGAAAAAGAATATAGATTCACAACATAATAAGGATTTACTGCAAATTACATTGCTAAAAGAAGAATTACAACAAATGCGTTACGAGAATGACATACTAAAAGCTGAAAAAAGATTACTGAACCATAAAATCTATACATTAGAAAAAAATTTTAAATGAAAAGGCAGCACGGATCATAATGCTTGTACTAGATTTCTTCGTTCTTTAGTTTTCTTGAAAAATCGATTAACTAAATGCATAGATTAACTTTGGAAAATAAATAATAAAGTTTTATTATTTAAGCCTAATATATACACTGAACAAGAAAGCTTCCAAAATAATAATGAATGGTACATTTTATAGGAAATCTTAGGGTGCAAAAAATATCTACTTTATCGTAAAATACAATTAGAGAAAAAAATACATGCTCTAATTATAAATAAAAAAAACCTAATTAGAAGTTTAAGTCAAGGATCGAAAAAACATTAGCTTTATACCTTTGGTCGACGAAAACCCGTAAGATGCCTATGTCAACTCAATACCGCTAAATCGATTTCCTTGTTTCATGGTCGCAATATCCAAGATAACGTCTTGAATATTATTATAATGAATAAATAACACAGGATACAATCATGAATATCAATTTCGCAAAAAGGACTCTACCTTTGATTCTTGAAGGACCGCTACCACTAGATTCAGCGCAAAACTGATAAAAGAATGTTTGTTAATTAGACAAAATATAAATCTGATACTAATATTATTGGTTAAAAATAAACTTGCCACATCAAAATCTCTTTTCAAATCAATTCCAACGTTGCCAGAAGTGATGTAGATAACCGCCGTGGCCAGTTCATCTGAACTATATGTCATTACTATGCGAGTAGAATAAAGGCAGTTGATAATCATTGTCCAAACATTTTGCACAAACTTATTGAATAATGGGTTTGCATTTGGTTCGAATTCATCTTTTAAGGTATGAATTACACGCGATGCTGAGTCAATAGGCGTCTTATTGAGTGACTTCCGACCAATTGCATTTTTGACGTTAGACATCATGATCTTAACGGTTTTCTTTAGTTTGCCACAGTCATCCAGAGGAACATTCGGGTATTTTAATCTATATAATTATAATAAAAATAAACATGTAAAGATTATAGAGGCTCAATCGTTAGATCCTTTGAGATATGTACCTCCAACCAAGATTCGTAGCTTTTCGAATTCCTTTGAAATATTTGGTGTTTTCAATTTCAATCAATATACAGGAGATTCCCAAAAGTTCGTCATCGAATCCAAATTCGTCTATAAATTGTTCATGCCAGTTGATTTCGCGTTTACTATTATATTTATGATATTTATGATAAGATTGTAACACGGCCGCGACAATTGTCATCGGTAATTGCAGACGAATACAGCATTTCAAAATAAAATCGATAATATCAGCTCTTGCATCACTAATGATAGTTTTATGAATTAAGGGAGTTCGCAAGCTAGATTCATAGGCGGACTTAGGAGTTTGGAACAATAATCTCGGCTTTGTGTCTGTTCTTTTTACTGTTTCATTGCCTCTTGCAATTTCAGAGATATTAAAGCCAGTAGTCGGTTTTTGATCAATCCCTTCGAATTTTTTTGATGTTTCTTTATGCTGAGA